GGCATTCAGACACATATTTCCAGCCCGATTGAACGTCCTGATTAAACAGTATTAGACCGGTCAGTATTTCTGGAGTTCTTCCATGTAGACAGCATTCATACGATAAGCTGCCATCCAGTTGTGTGCTGCACTGTAGTAGCTTTGGTAACCTTGCTCTTGAAAAGGAGACATGGAGGCGTAGTAATCATTCCAGGCTCTGTAGCTGGCTCTCCAGTACATTTCAGCACTCCACTCCTCTTCCTCATCTTCTTCTTCTTCATCATCATCATCATCGTGTTCTCCCTCATCCCATTCCATCTCATTTTGCTCTACATTCATCTTCTCTGAAGTCTTTTTGCCTCGTTCCTCAATCTCTTCTTTAATCTTTCTTGATTCATTCCTGCCGGTCGGACTGGGTCGCCTGCTTGACTTAACGGCTGCTACAGATTTGTAGGGCTGAGACAAAGCTCTCTCATTTGATGCACAGGTTGTCTGGGGATATATTTGAGGTGCAGAGGAAGCATAAGCTTTAGATTTGGTTGTCTCTGCCTTCGTTTTGGACACAGTGGGTGTTTGTCTAGCTTCAGTCTGAGGCTCAGTGTCTACTTTATATTCATCGTACTCGGATTTTGAGGTTGAAGAACTTGGGGTTGACCTTGGACGAGAAAAGTCAGATTTCCACCGTTTTCCAAGTTTTAAACTTTGAGCTCCGTCATCACCAAGTGTGACAGATTCTCTGTGCCCATTCTGCTCATCGAGGCCACTGTCCTCTCGACCTCTGAACTCCCTGATGACCTCCACTGATCTCCCCAATCCTGTGGTAATGAAGCTGTGGAAGTCCTGCTCAGCCTCCTCAAAGGTCATAAGCCTCGACCTACAACTCTTGAACGAGCTGAGAGGAGGGATCTTTGGCAGAGCGTCTTGCAGCTCTTTTCGAGTGGGCGCCACCTGAGGAGGACTCTGCGGACGAGTGTCCTTTGCAGGAGACACTTTTCTAGGATTGTCTTCGCTGTGTGCTCCCAGTTCTGGTG